GATAAGGCAATATGTGCGCATTCCAGTTTTTAACTATAGTTCATTGGCTGTGCCTTAACGGTTGTCAGATGTGTCATTCGCACGGTGCCATATTGAATCGGAAGAACGTCAAATCGCCCTATTACCGTGCGTTCGTTATTTTGGTCTGAGTTCTCCGAGCTTGACTTTACCGTTCGTTTATTTAAAAAGTGTACTCGGTGCAGCCTCATTCGCGTTCGTTTATTAAAATTTCCGGTACTTTTATACAGCGTTCAACTGCTCCCTTCGCTCGCTGGTCACGTGATTACGGCTCCGCTCAGCTCGCTCTACACTTTGAGCAAAATACCGAACGCAAGGTTAGTATATCCAAAACACGTGACTTTGACACAGTGTTGCCAGCATCAGTACAGATGTACTAAAATCAGTACAACTTGACTCTCTTCAGTACGTCAGTACCACACTATAAAATTCAGTACATTTTGCCGTTGCTGTACAATACCGGGGATATTTTTACACGCCGGGAAAAATTAACGAATACCTGCATTTTCGAAAGGATGGACGGATCACTCCAGGTGAATATTGAACGCACCCCAAACATGCCTTTAGCCCGCGCCCAGTGGCGTAACTGCAGATTTTGGACCTGGGGGCAGACTGGTTTGGCGAGGCCCAATTACGATACACCACTGCAATATTCTGTTTGTCTAAGAGCCGAATTATGGATCGGCTGGTAACATCTCTGGCAAATTTACCCTGCTGGTAAAACTAAAAATTGAATGTCCAGAAATAATTATTTTGCAAAAACCGCCTACCATCTTCCACGCTAACAGCTAACACTACCGAGGGCGGGCGATTTTACTTATTGCGAAATACCTACATTTCCCAAAAAAAATTGGGTAGTAAATAGACAAGGATAATACACACTACTAAGAATTGCTTATCGGCCTCGTTTCTGCTAATCGCCGCCATATTGGTGTGTCACCATTTCCGACGTCTTAAATAAGTCGTTAGCTGATTGCACTAGTCGTCGTAGTGTAGAATTTAAAAAGAAGAAAATTATTATTTAATTTCGATTAACGTTATAGGCAAAGAGGAAGATGAAAACGATATCTAAAAAAGAGTTGTTTTAGATTGTTATTTAATGTAATAAAACTAAGTATGCATAAATCAAGAACCCGCGGAATCATAACCTGTAGTGCAAACAGCCTACGTCAAGGCGAGAAACAAACATGCTGCCTACGTCACAACTGGTGATTTGGCGTGGTGGGGGGCTTCAGATTTGTTCCACACAAGCCTTATGAGGATCGGCTATCCTGTAGTAGTAGTGTGTATTATCCTTGGTAAATAGATAGGTAAGTAAGCAAAAGTTTAAATGATTTTCGTATATTCTTGGTTACACTCTGGTTTCGTAAGACGTAAGATCCACCCGAGAGGAAGGTTTGGTTAGATAAGATGTTGCTTAGATCAAAAAAATTCCAAGAAGATGATGACGTGGCAATATTACTGAACTAATTAAAATTGCCTAACATGTACATTCTTGAGAAGCTAGAAGATATTAACATTAAATTTCGTTGAATAAGTAACCTGCCCCAATCTGTAAAGTCGGTTCTTTAGTGACTTTAGTTAGGTAAAGAGAGTAGATAAAAAACAATGTTTTTCGTGAAGCCCATCGCCCATCCGAGTGTTTAATTAACCCACTAACCAAACCGTGAAATATTAAAAATAATTTAAAATGAATGATCTTTTATTTGATGTTTTAAATTTAAAGCAGTACAGGAGTAGGAAAAACAAAATAAGTATCCTAAAACCATCTACTTTATCAGTTTTATGAACTCCAGTTCAGTTTCTGAAGTTAGTACATTTTTCCGTTTTTCAGTACATTTTTTGTCTCTTGATCAGTACTTTAATTTTCAAGGGTCTGGCAACGCTGCTTTGACAAGCAAAATATGGGTTAGCATAAGGCGTTTTTATGAACTATTTGCTTGGTGGGTGACCTTACTATTTGTTACTATTTACATACACTATTTGAATACACTATATCTAACATTGGACATTTTAATTTAAGTTTGATAGCATCTTGCATAGTCTAATTGAAGAATAGGGTTATGGGGTTAAAATAATTAATGTAATTATTTATGATTATGGCTCTGTTCGAACCCGACATGAGAACCGTTCTAGAACAGTAATTTCCAGTTGCCCACCTATTTTTCAATAAGTTGAACGTTTATCCTAATTGACAAATGAATTGATCGACTGGAAATTACCGTTCTAGAACAGTTCTTATGTCATTTGGAACAGACCTTTTATATTGAATAATCATCAGAAATTCAAGGACTGGACAATGCAAAATAATCACAATATTTTTAGATCGTAAACAGAGTGAAATTGAAATGAAAATTTAGGTTGCGTCATTGATATGACAGTTCAAAATGTTATGACGCCATTGTGACAATGTTTTAAATTAATATTGAAAAATGTTTTAAAATATTTTAGACGCGAGGGAACACCTCAGGACCAGAAGACAAACAGAGATGGGAGTGAGAAGAATTATCAGATCAGCATGATGATGTCAAGCCTGGTATTGGTATATAAACCCAATATTGATTCTGGCCACTAAATGATTTTCTGATTTAAGATATTCCTACTTGAATGTTAATCCAAATGCATTTTTAGTATAATTATAGTATAGTATAACAATTTTGACACAAGGCACGTTTACGCTCACTCATTTATTCAATTTGTAAATTGGACCGGGACACTGGGACATGTGAATCCGTTATTTTTAGTTCCAATAATATCCAACACTTATTGGGTTCTGCTTATACCTACTTATACACCCAAATAATGGAGTGTATGTATTGACGAATACCTATGTAAAATCGAGCAAATTAACAAAATATATTTTATAATAATTATCTATGACATGCTAAATTAATTACCCACTACAAAAGTTACTTTTGGAAAAATCATTTTTTTAAAAAAATGTCCGACTCAGAGAATTCGTGAAAATTTCTTTTTTTTTATATTTCATTAAATCATTTCAGTAACTGAGATAGCGTAAAAAATATGTTAGTGGTCAGCAAGCATCAAACCGAGGTAAAAATAGATGTTAAGTGAAAAAAACTGCTGCAGTATATATTATGGAAAGTGAAATCTTTATTTTAGATAAAACGGTAGATTTATTATCTTATACAATACGTATCAGGTGAAACTGGAAGCAACATACATTTTCAAAGATAAAGAAAATACAATGGAGTCCAATTTTGATTGTTCTGTATCCGTACCTATTTTCTCAAAATGCGAAAAATCAATGTCCAGTCAATGATAAAATGCAAATAGCTTTTGAAAATCTGGCAACACGGAAGACTGGAAGTCAGAAGAAAGAAAAGAGCGAAATTGAAGCAGTGGAAAAGAAAATATTACAGACAGAAGGCTAAAAGCCCTATCTGCTTGGTGCCTAAATTTAGATGAACATTAAGAACATTGACAATGTTGTCATCGCAGCGGAATTTCCAAAACCATTCACTGCAAAAACAAAACATAACATAGATGAAGGTGAAGAATGGAACTCGTCAAAAGTAAAATAAATAAAGCTACGCAATGGTAAATATGGTATTTCTCTCTGAGCTTGACCCTAAAATTAAAGCTGAAGATGTTCGACATGAAGGAAGACGTCAGTAATAAAATGACAACCAAAAAAGACAGCCTCAGAATCAGAAGCTGCTTTAAGATTTGAGTTCCAGCATCTCAAAGTTAACAAGTTTTATCGTCATCTCTCTGGCCCAAAAAAGTTCGATTCTGTAATTATTTTTTTGAATAAGTAAATGTTATTCATTGGATCGACTTGAAATGTAATGGCTGCGCTGCCTAGGCCGATAAAAGGACAAGTAGCTATAAAACAAAGTTTACTTTTTTGTGCCTAATACTGGGCCAGCTTACAGCCCCAAAACTATACAATAAAGACAATTTCATATTAATTTCTGCACAAAATTCAATTCAATCTGGTTCGACTTTCAATTATTGGAAAATGTTTTTGTGGCTCGAAATAATAATGTTGGAAGTTTCTTTTTTTTTTCAATCATTCTGTCAACATTTTTGAAAAATTTATATGTTTCTCCAAATTTGTAAAAACCAGATCATGCATTAGAACTCACCTTCTACTTATAACTGAAGAAGCTATAGAATTATAGCGAAAGCTTTTATGTAGAAAAAAGAGTTTTTCTTTTAATTTGGCCGCATCCCCACAAGAAACTTCCAACATTAACTTAAATTGATCATATAGAATGTTAAAAATAATGATCATCGGTTTGTGTGGTTTTTTCAAATTCAAAAAAAAATTACATAATTTTTCATTGAAAAAAGTCGCTAGCCTTGAAATTGAAAAATATACGAGATTAAAACAAGGGCATGTATTGAAAATGCTCCGAGTCAAAATCTAAATCTGTAACAAGTCTAGGGTATCTGGCAAGACGCCGGTTACTCAAAAACGGTGGACAGTGGCAACTAAATTCGCATCAGATGAAATTTATTCAACTCCACTTTCGATATCATCAAAGCTACTAATGTCCAATCACTCAACCTTGTTTGGTTAAGGAAAGCATCGGCTTCGATGGCGAATGAAAAGCGAATAAATGAAAATGGAAGGGTATTGTTAGCAAATATTATTAGGGATTGAAAAGGTTCATTAATTTGCAATTTTACATCAGATGAAGCCAGTGTTAATTGGATAATAATTATAGTATTTATAGCAAAATCTGTTTATTTGCGGCAAATTTTATTATTAGAAATCTGCGGATCCAAAAATAACGTAATGTCATATAAGAAAAAGCGATGGCAAAAATCTATTACATAATTAGATTTTCTACAGATTGCACTATATTAACACAGGAACTTTTGGATTCTATGCACGTTAATCACTAAAAAAAAGCACTAGTACTTGGTGACTTTACAGTTCCTTCGCGGCCTAAACCTCGAATATTGCATCGCGCGTGGATACAAAATTGAAAATTTTTTTGGAAACGTACCCTGCAAGGTGACAGCAATTAGAGCGAATCCAAGAAGCACCAAAAACCATGAGGACCTGGGGTAGACCTCCATGGTTTTCTTCTTACCACACCGGTCACATAAAAGTCCCGCACTGACGACTACGTTCAGGTTAGCGTGGACTATGGCATTGGAACGCAATGAGACGCTCGTGCCTTACCAGTGGCGTTGCTCCTTTTTTTTAGGTTTCACTCGGTTCATTTATTTACCTACCTATATTTATAAGCATTCATGACGACTTTTGTCTGAAGCCAAAATTATATCTGGAAATACTTAAAATTACGTGTGAAACTGCAGGTTTTAGAATTTGCTGGTGGTTGGGCTCTATTTTTTTACAAATTTGTGCAAATAATTTTTAAGGCAGCAGTGAAATTTCGTTTACTCATTTGCTCTTTGCAGATTTGTGAAATAAAATATAGAAGATGCTAGATTATTCAATCACCATCATAAGTATTTAATTGCTAACGAGTTCCAGAGGTCTCTCAGAAGTATATATATTGCTAATGAGTGTCAATACACGTTGGCAGCAACTTTATTATTCTTTAATTGGTTGACAGCTTTGTCAAACTCCTGGAACGTCACTCAGATTGTTTTGAATGGCTTTTTGAGGAATTTTGTTGAAGAAGTAATCATCCACGTGAGGAATTTCAGAAAATGTTCCTTTCGTTGAAAGTTATTAGAAGCCTAATATGTGAGAACCTATCTCTAGATCTCAGGAGATTCGGATATTTTATAGAGGAAGCAAAAGTCGCTTTTGTGGCGCTGTAGAAGGTGCTGGTGTTGATGAAGAATGCTAAATGATCGAACTCAGTTGATTTGTTGTCCGCTATTCGTTATTCAACTTTCTTGTCCTTCATTGTATTTGCTTGAAGACTTTGCTGCTCTGTGACGATCTGAATTTCTTCATTGTTCTCATCAAACCAATGATATCCGCTGTTCGATATCGTCGGGATATTTGGCAGACAATTTCTGATTCAATAGAAACTGATAGTATGTTTTGGTATCTCCATTTTTCATGAGGACTTTATTTTCTTTTGTGTTGATTCTCGTAGAATTGATAATAAAATATAAAAATTACATCCGAGATCCACGCCTCTGTTGAAAAAGATTCAAAAAATGGCGCCCAATGACCCCCCTCTAAATTCGAATCGGTCCACACAATCCAGAGATGACTGTGTAAACCTGAACTTTTCCTTTAATCTATCCAGGAATAATTTTTTTCGATTGTACACCGAGTGTAGAAATACCAATCAATTGTAAAAAAATTGCCGTTATTTATTTAAATCAATTAATAAAATTCGCCAGATTTTTTCAGTAACCTCCACGCAAACTAACCACGTCAATGAAGCGTATTTTCGGCAACAATTATTTAGAAATATTTATTTTCGGCATTTTTCTATGTCGAAACGCCAGGGGATTCCTATTTCACTTTACGAATTAATTTCCTTTACCTATTGGCATCTTCTGTTTATGGGCAGTTAAATTTGATAGAGATATTTACGTGTAGACATAGTTGTTATTTCAAAATGGGAGATGGGGAAATGAGAAAAAATATAGAGCGGCTCTAAAGAACCATAATCAAGCCGTTAAAAAAGCAAAAACAGATTAGTGGAAGAGGTTCTGTGAAAGCGTTTCACAAGATTCTGTCCAGAGAACCGGTGCGGACCTGGGATCGAGAGAATCATTTTCCAGGCAGCCAAATAATTGAGAGCTCACAAATATCTCTCCCAGCAGGACGAGTCAAACGACCTGAAAGGATCGCTCGTACTTGTCTATCCTAATTTCGGGAAGAGTGACCAAAGAATTGACCTTTTTTCTATGAAACTGTCTTTGGTAACTTTCCCCTATACAGTTAGGGTCAAGTTTTTCGATAGGCGGGACATCTGTCTTTATAGTGCTCATACAAACAATTGGGATACTTGATTTTGGCACTATTTTTGTACAACACAGCATCAGCATTTACAATTCCTCTGGGTTTAGGGTTTTGAGGTACTCTTGGCTTAGATCCACCGATTTACAATAGTCCATAATTTTTGTCACTGTCAGGTATTGCTCTCTAATTAGTCTGGCTTGTAGCTGTTCGTCAGCTAACCCCACCACCAGTCTGTCTCTTATCATTCTCTCTTCATAACTCTCATTACAGCCTTGCTTTTGACTGATAAATTCACACATTTTCGCCTGCTTTCAAGGTAGGCGTCCACTGCGAGCGAAACGAAACTAAGCTGTGCTAGACGAAGCCAACGTTAAATAAACTTAAGTAAGTCTGAGCGGCCACTGGGAACGATTTTCGTTTAGTTCTCAGCTGTTTTCATGCGGAAAGACCTATAAATTTATTTAAAAAATTAGAATGAGTCCTGTTGCAACAAAAATGGATCTGTATTCAAAGTCAGCATCTGTAGAATCATACTTTTTATGTGCAAACACAGTGGAAAGTAAATAAATAATAAATTCTCAGCGAAAAACTTCGTTCGAATCTGACACGAGCTAAATCGAACGAAACGAAACTAAGATTTTAATCTTCGTTGACAAATCTTCGCTTAGTTTAGCTAAAATGGCCGAGGGTATATTTGAGAGTATGGTAACTAATTTACTGAAAACTTATCTTCGCTTAGCTTAGTTTCGTTTCGCTCGCAGTGGCCGCCCGCCTTGACTCAGTTAGGAAATTCTCAACAGTTTCGCCTTCAATCTGGTGAAGATTATTGAATTTGACTGCTTCCAGCGGTGTTACTAATAGGTAAAATAGGAGTCAAATGACTTAAACGGTTTTTTTAGCGTATCTTTTTGATCTTCACGAAGCTATTAAGTATCAAGTCCTTGATCTCCCATGCAATTCAACAGGATTGCTACTTTAACATCTTCAGGACCATTACTTTGCCAGTTTCTATAAGAAATATTTGAAATTTTTGTTTGTATAACTTCCAGTGCTTATAATCATATTCACTGAGGGGCTCTGGGGGCTTGAAATACTCTATCTTGACTTTTCAGTGTCGAAGCAAACTTCCGCCAACAAGGGCAGGACGTTGATGCTTTCCGCTGGAATTCGTTAAATAGTCGCTTCTAGTGCAACTTTAAAAATCTTCCAGTTCTGACACCATGTTTGTGGATTCTTAATAAAATCCTCTAAACGTTCAATAAGCACGTTTATTGTATAGAACTTGATACAGTTCTTTAAAAGTTAACAAGAACAGGCACTGGGCCATCACGTTGACAACTTACTGATTATTAAAGACCTTGTTGACACTGATTAGTTCTATGACATTTAGGTCGAGCATTGGTTTGTGGCTACTATGGTATATTGAAGTGTACCTAAGGTAGCGGTACTATTGACAGTTTAAGATATATTTTCAACTTCAAGTCCCTGCATGACATTTAATAATAATTTAAACATGGCATAAAAATTTCAAGGAATAGATTAAATAAATATTATAGATTAGGAAATCGTTTTTGTATATATATAAAAAAATCATTTCAATACATAAGAAATAATGATAAGTTACAAATACCAAATGTGCCAGTTATTGACCAATTCGAAAAACGAGTGTGGTAGAAATTTTTTTGCATCAAAGTTTACCTTTTGTAAAATAATTTCACTTTACTCGAATTTTTGGGTAGCCCCATACCCGCCACTGTATTTCGGAAACCAGTCATAGGATCGTCTTGGGCCCATGAGAACTTTTGATCAGGAGATCGAGATCTACAACATACTAAAATTTCATCAAAATCGTGGATTTTTGAAAATCTCATTTAGAGTGTGTATCGTCCTTTACAAGTATTTCTTACCTTACGTACCATCAACAATTAAAACACTTTGTCACAACATATAACCACATTTCAGAGCAATTTTCCCTCACCAACTGCTAGCAGAAAATTGCGGAGTTGTGGTGCTTCACTCGTCAATCCTGAGGGTGTACTGCAAAAGTGGTTATATATTTTCTGTGGTTATAGTTTTCTTATTTTAGCTCAAAAATTATGAAAGTGGTCAATAATAAGGGCACGGACAGGACGATAACCGGTGCCTTAACCTTACTTCCTATAACAACCAATTTATATTTATTTGGAAGTGAAACAAAAACAAATTGCCCGACAATGTTGTAAGAATTATATTTACTTTTATGCAATTTCTGTTTTTAAGAAGTTTTATTTTAATTAAACATATAATTACATAGATGTTTCTACAACTAAGCTGACTTAGGACCGAATTTATAGTCGCTCCTTGAGGTTTCCTCAGACCTTAAGGAAGCCTTGAACGTTTAGAATTGACATTTGACATGACATGACTAACTTGTCAAATAGTAGCAAGTGTCTATTCTAAACTCACGACCTCCAAGAAAGAGTCAAGGAACGACTATAAATTCGGCCCTTGAAGACTGAATTCTATAATTGCAGCATTATAGAGCCCGTTTTCATAAATAATAAATGATGAATAGGCGAAAGCTTGCTGAAATTCCTTATTTTAATGATACGTCGTCAGAAGTGGCCATATAATTCAAGTATGGACAGTACTTGGTAATTTTTGACTCAAGAATAGACAAATTGTTAAATTTTCAATGTCAATGCCCTTATTTTCCGCATCTGCATTGACTTCATCAGTAATGAAATTATGTGTATAATTGAAATAGTAATAATAATAGAGTGGTTTTCTCATAAATCATGCGAGCGACAGACTTTTATTATGCACGACAAATTCGGAGTTAACGAGCTATAGAAAATACATAAAACCAATTTCACTCGGGAATAATGCGTTAACGAGTTCTCTGCTGTAGGAAGCTGTGGTAGGTATGTAAACGTTGTTCTCCGAATTACCATAAAATTTTATTTGCACGATCTGACAAATAACCGTTAAATATTGTTTCACGCGAACGCGTTGTTTTTAATGTCGTTAGCACAACGAACACACACGAACAACACGATCTTTTTGAAAGAATTTAAAAAAACTAAGGATAACGCACACCTAACATGGGATTTTTGGGCTCTATGGATTTTCCCCAATTTTTGATATGTTGTAGAGGATTTTATTTTGAACAACCTTTAAATAGGACGAAATCTTGTAGGTACTACGGTTTTTGAGATATGAGCCTTGAAAGAGGAACTTTTTTTGCGACTTTTTGTGTGAAGAGTATACGAAAAACTGGTGTTTATCAGTCAAAATATTGACAGGTCGACATATTTCAAGTCACTAACAACTGTCAACATAGGCTAAGGCCGGGACCGCACTGGCGCTAACATTGACCCCAGTGCGGTCCCGGCCTTAACCTATGTTGACATTAATTTGTGAGTGACGTAAAACATGTAAACCTGTCAAAATTTTGACTGATGAACACCAGTAACACCAGTATCATGTATACTCTCCACACAAAAAGTCGCCAAAAAGTTCCCCTTTCAAGGCTCATATCTCAAAGACCGTAGTACCTACAAGATTTCGTCCCATTTAAGGTTGTTCAGAATTAAATCCTCTACAGTCTACAACATATCAAAAAATGGGCAAAATTCATAGAGCCCAAAAATCCCATGTTAGGTGTGCGTTATCCTTTTTATTGTATTGTATATTGTATATTCAATTTGAATGAAGGCATCTGACTCTAATATTGTGACCGGTCCAAATATGACAGGTGACACTCATGACTCATTACAGACATTACAGTTTTCGACAGCCATGAGACCATTTGGCAAAAACAAGCACCATTACTCATTCATGACAGGGGCCCTTCAAATCTCGTAATGCGTCCTGGATTGGGGAGGATATCCATATTTTGACATCAGACGACGATAACATTGGTAATTCCAAAGAAAATTTTCTAGAACACTGCTCGTGAAAAACTCACTTTCGAGAACACTAAGTTTGACAATTCCGGTAAATTTCTTTGAGCAAATAAAACAAGATTTCAACTGAAAAAATGCATTTTATGGATATAAAACAATACAAGAAAAAAATTGCGTTCCTGAGCTCATAGACTAGAATTTGAAATTGGACAAGAATCAAATCTTACAATACTTAAGATCTAAATAATCAAACTAAGTACCAACGCGACAGATAAATAAAATTCACAACCCAAAGAAAAAATACATTTGAGCACAACCATTGTAAAAAAATTACTTTCCTTGCAAAAATAAAGTAAAAAACTAAATCTACATTTCACTCTGAGCTTAATAATAATTACTATTAGTGTGTTTTTAAATTAGTCATAATATTTATTGTTAAAAGGTACCTATAACATTTGAATCTTATAAACTGACGCAACAAAAAATGGTACCTATGGCCTAAAATTATCAACATTTGGTTTGTGTCGTTTATCTTACATTTGAACTCTATAATTGAGCAAATAGGTACTTAGGTATAAGAATTTATATTTGGGAAACTAAAAATTCCTTGAGCTGTTTGTCAAAATACTGATCAAATGTAATACCATTGTCCAACATGTGACGAGCAATATCTCGATCAAATTCTTTGTATTTAGAATCCAAAGTGAACCAAACTGCTATTGCACATCGTTTTCCTTTTCTCACCGCCTTAACTCCATGTAAGTTTTCTTTTCCTGACGAAAATGCCACCATTCGGCCACACTTTGGAGTGATCGTACTCTATTTTGAAAAGAAAATATTATTTATGAAAATTATTTACTATATCAAATATTTCACCTGGATATGTCTTCCTTTGGAATCTGAGGCGAAAACAAACTCTCCGCCATCAAAATCATCATTCAAATATAAAATCGTGCTGTAATCTCTCCAAGAAAATGCTGGAGATTTTTTCTCGCAATTGACATCTGATAATAAATTGCAATTATCCGCATGGACCATGTGACTGAAATCGGTTCTTCCAGAATTATCTAAAATTGCATGTATACATCAATGAATGAATGTCACTCTAGTAAGTTAAGTAAATAAGGGAGCATTTGTTTCAAAAGAATCATTCAAAGTGATTTTGATAGCATCAGGATCAATGTTTCAATTATCAAAGAGCATTTCAGTACTTTCTAAACATTTCATGAGAAACTCGGGGGAAGTTTGGGTTAACTTTCTTTTCTCTATTCGTAGATCACATTGTAGAACGCAATACCATAGATTATGTGCTCAACAAAAACAAGTTGAATTCATTTCTTCACTTCAAGGGATTCTTTTATTTTATTTTTGTGTAGTGGAAACTTCTTCAGGCGCGTTCAGCACAGCTAAGCGAGAGAGAGAAACAGTCAGCAGTGGGAAAGATAGAGAGATTGGGATTCAATCGAAACGCCCTTAAACTATTTTCAATTTTTGCGCGAGTTTTCATGCTCTGTCACTTTTAACTGTCACCTGTGAGATGTAAGGTAGGTACGACATTTGATAAAAATCACTAAAATATAATTGTACAAATACCTACGTCTTAAATTTGATTTATGTGGGCTCATTGATTGACGGAGCCGTTCTGGTTTGCATTTCCCACAGTATTTATTTGATTAGGTTCTTCCAATTATTATTTTACTGCCCGAATAAATTGAAAAGGTTGATCGGCACAAAATAATTGGAACTGGAATTTTATTGCCGTCATGCGGTAGGGAGTTAATAAGCGTAAAACATAGGTACCTACCTATAAGTTAACTTACTTGTTAGAGCAGATCTGCAAACTAAATGAGTATAAGAAAAATACAGCTGTTTTTCAATATTAAACTTCTCAGTCATCTTTTTCTGTATGATTTCGGTAAGTTCCAATAATAGTTGCAAATATGGCGCTTTAATAACTCCGATGTAAACTAAGAAAGTTATCCTGCTTAGAGTAATGCCTTCAAATTTTTCATATTTTGTGTGCGGTGACACCTTGTCATTATGATACCCATCGTTCATACTGGCAAAAGTGTCAGCGATGTACATTAACTTGGAGCAATCTTCTGAAGACGCAACACCATCGGAGGAAAACCGTTTTTCACCACCCAAATCGGTTTCATGTTTGGTTATGTGAAAGTTCCTTCTGAAATTCTGTCAATTAAATCGTTGGTTGAAAAATTGGTCTGTGTATTTTATACATTATATTATATACTCACGAAGGATTACATATACACCTATATACTTAAAATTCACAAATATAGAAATATAGAAACCGCCATTATTTTAAAACTTTTGGATATAAATTAACTTTAAAACGGAAAAAAACTTGATTGTTCTATTTGTTCTTCAAGTCTTATGCAACATTTGCTTGAACACATCTTTATGATGATAAAAATTAAAAATATGGAAAAACATTTTTCCGTTTCAAAGTCAATAGATGCATCCACCACCCTCTTACCAGGAACAAAATAATAAAATAAAATCTTGTTAAAATGTTTTATTAAAAGATCCAATCAAAGAAAATTACATGGCACATGAGAGTATTACAAAAAAAATAGTTAATAGGCAGAAGTCAAGTGCAACCAAATATCGATATTCACAAAAAACTGACCCAGAAGATAAAAGCGTCATACAGATACATCGGTGTCAATGTCATTCGCAGTGGAATCATTGTCAGAAGCAGTGTCCACCTAAAAGTTAACGATAAGCGTTAATACACATGCGTCGACTATCCATTTAAAACTGCTAAAGTCTATAATCAATCAATAATGGCGGTTATTATAAAACTACTTTGACAGTTAACTTAAAGTTAACTCCTTCCTCCTCATGTAATTCCAGAAGTTAACTTTAAGTTAACTGTCAAAGTAGTTTTATAATACCCGTCCTAAGTGTTTAAACTAACCAAAGATAAAAAAACAAACATGCGTTTTGCAATTTCAACTTCAACGATTAGAATTTCCACATAAGGAACGCAGAATAAATTTAGTGTAATTGATGAAAATGCTTGCAATTCATAAAGTGGTAATTTTGAAAGATTCTTCTAGAACTTTTGTTACAAGAAATAAGCCGGTAATGTGTTCTTAACCCGTAACTGGTGAGGTCATTTTTTTGTTACATAACCGGTGAAGTGGGGTTTGCTAAACCCCAAATTAAAAAGGCGATTCTGCTAATTCAAAATAAAAAAACGTGTATGTTATTCACTTTTGGGTTACATTTGTCCTTTTGGAACGCATACTTTCAACAAATAAAAAACAAATATTTTACGAATAATTCAATTTTACTGTGGGACTACAAAAAACACGCATCAGAACTTATTTCTAATTGCTGGAAGTAATCAAACTAAAAATGTAGCATAAAAAATATAAAATGGCGGAAAAGTGTCTAAAAATCTTTGGAAAACATTCAAGGAACAAAGTTTTAGCAAAATTGTATTTCAAGTAATCTTTTTGGAGAGCAATTAACCCAAACTAACCCAAACGACTCACAGTGAGGTGCGGTTACGCAAACCCCAATATAATATCGCACACCAAGTAAAATATCGCGCGTTGTTGACACCGTTAGGGTACTGACGGACAACGGACCGAAAGCTACACAGGAGGTAGCGGGCCTCCAACCATTAGTTAATACGTGGTAAAGATTCTTAAAATCTGTGGGGTTTCTCACCCCATCTCACCAGTTACGGGTTAACCTTACTCTGAAGTACATATTAACGATCGTAAACTTGTTTTATGATTGAAAATAGTTTTGTCAGTTTTAAATGACAAAATAAAAATAAAAAATGATGTAATTTTGAATGAATTGCGTAAATGGTTAATATTGAGAGCTTATTAGGGATTCCAAAAACAGCCTCAAGCAAAATGAGTTCACTCCTGCCTCGCCAAGTTGAATTAAAACAAAACCATTACCTATTTTATTTTTTTCAAATTACCTTGGTTTCTTTCATCTTATTTGCTTGCTCATTAAAATGGAATTCATTTTTAATGTACTGGAGTATTCTTTTCTCGTACGTTTCCCTTTGTGCATATCGAATTGCTTCCTAAAATACAAACATTATTTTCATCTACACATTTGTATTAAAAAAAAAAATCGTTTATATACATCTCTTGGAGTAAAGAAATCATCTTGGACTTTCGGTAAAGCTTGATAATATCTCATATTTGCCAACATGGTTTCATCTTCGGGAAGGAACAAGAGGTAACTGGCAACTGCTTGACAGGCAGCATTTAGATTTCCTTCTACAAATATTTTTAGATAAAGGAGATGTTGTATTTTTCGCATAACTTACTCTTAAAATAAGCATACTGAAGATAGTGATAGTGACTAGCCAATAGATCGTCATACATTTCTCCATTTAAAGACCCTAGTCGCCTTTTGCATCTCTGTTTACATCTTAAGACGTATGTAAAATGATCTAAAAAAAAGAGCATTAAAGATATTTTGCGTTAGAAATCAAAAAATTCGTCCTCACTTGCCATGGCTGGTACAAAATCAGGATACCATCCAGGATCAAATGGTCCTTCACATTGGGCCCTGCATTCGTCTTCTGCGTGCAAATAGGATACCAGGCTCTCCTCCATGTTATTTATTGCAGTGACCCATTCTTTCTTTTGGTACGCATCAACTCCATATACGTATAAATAAACGTAATCCTATTAAAATTAATTTATAACGTCATATTAGGGAATACAACAAGAACTGCATCGTATAGCAGTAAAACAAGTGACCCAGATAATGACAGCATGTCTGATGGTCGAAGTTATGCTACAATTAAAAATTATCATAAATTTTCATATACATACTTTCGCCTCAAAGTTGACTACGTCTTTCATTTCGACCTCAGGGAGCGCTGCATACTGTTGTAATACGTCAGACATGATTTTATTGTCAGGATTTGAAACCAGAAACGTGAAAGCCGCCGATGCGGCCCTTTGTTTATCGTTCACCTGTAACAAATTGATTTGACACCGACATATTTCCGCTACAATCATAGAGATTCATGAGGCACATTTTTATTGGGCCAAGTAAAGTTGTAATCCAAAGGGTGGGGTTACAACTTAACTCAAAAACTAATAATACCAATGATCGTTTCAGATAGTAATTTGAATGTAATTTATTGTGGAAATGGTTATTTTGAATGTAGTTTAATAATAATGTCACGGATTTCGCGGGTCCACTAAAACTCTCTGTACTAGCAACAAACACTTTTAATAAACTATTATTTTTTTTTTACTGCAACTACAATCTCCCTACTAGCAGCAATACTATACGTTCTAGGGTCCTTAGAACCATATGTCTTTGAACATAATGGCCTCTAGGTTTTTTCTTTATTGTGTCTGTAATTTCTCCTATATATTGATTCTTTTTCTTCTAGTAGTGGTTCTCGCAAGAGTCTGACAGCTTGCAAACTTTCAGGAAGTATCATACAATGTTTTCAATGTCGTCGTTTCAAAACTAATCGGAAGAAAAAAATTCATAGTTCCATTTCTGATCCTAAGAACCATTCGCGGTTTGGTCTGTTTCATATAAACCGTCAGATAGTGACATATTTAGGTGCCCCATTTTCGCATACAAGCCTCGAAGAGGGTTGAAAAGTACATCGAATTTGTGATGGACAATCAAACCGGACGAACCAGCTTAATTCAACACAAAATTGATACTGGACTGGCACACCCCATTAGACAACCACCACGACGTATGCCAGTAGCTAAGCAACAGGAAGTGGAAAACCAAATTGATAAAATGCTTCAAGAGGGAGTCATTGAAGAGTCAAATAGTCCATGGTCCGCACCAGTAGTACTGGTTACGAAGAAAGATGGGAGTCTTAGATTTTGTGTGGACTACCGAAAGCTTAATGACGTCACCAAGAAGGACAGCTTCCCTCTCCCAAGAATAGACGATACACTAACAACTCTATCGGGCTCTAAATGGTTTTCCACCTTGGATCTCAAAAGTGGATACTGGCAAGTGGCAATACATGACGATGACAAAGAGAAAACTGCCTTCAGTACCGGAAGCGGGCTATACCAGTTTAATGTAATGCCTTTCGGATTGTGTAATGCTCCAGCTACGTTTGAGCGACTGATGCATCTTGTTTTGCGAGGCCTTACATGGAGAACTTGCCTGGTATATTTGGATGATGTCATGATTATGGGAAATTCGTTCCAAGAACATCTCAATAACCTAAAAGAAGTTTTTGACCGCTTCCGGAATGCCAACTTGAAACTCAATCCAAATAAGTGTTTCCTATTTCAAAAGAAAGTGGAATTCTTAGGTCACGTGGTATCTGAAGAGGGCATACAAGTTATGGAAGGAAAAATAGATGCTGTCAGGGACTGGCCAAAACCACGCGACAAACATGAACTAAGGAGTTTTCTAGGATTATGTTCTTATTATCGAAGATTTGTGGAAGGATTCGCCAATATAGCTGCTCCACTTCATCGATTAACAGAAGAAAAATCAACATTCAATTGGACCCAAGAATGCGATTCCGCATTTAGAAAATTGAAAGGGGCATTATGTGCGAGCCCAGTGTTGTCCTATCCTGATCACAAAGGCATGTTGATTTTGGACACAGATGCAAGTAACACCAGTGTTGGAGCTGTCCTTTCACAAATACAAAATTCACAAGAACATGTCGTGGAGTACTACAGCAGAACATTATCAAAGCCGGAACGGAATTATTGTGTCACCAGAAGAGAGTTGCTTGCCATACACTGAAAAAACTTAGCTATAAATATGACTGCAACTTCTTTATTATGAAGTAGTTGGAACTTCGGATATGAGGTAAGTTATGAGTCTTTACTATGAAGACGTGTTGCAGTTGAAATTCTCAAAGTACCTTGAGCTTATCCTAATTCCATTAAGAGCTTAAAATAACATCATCCTGCATTAATAGTCAAGTCATCCTGACTTTCTTAAAAATATACCTGCATTTTCTATTGATACTGAAGATTTAGCATGTATTACTGGAAACTTTATGATATAAATCAACGCTACATAGACTTCAACTCATAATAAAAGTTGTGACTTTGGATGTAGAATGATACACAAAGAATATTGTTTCATTGTTTTATTACAAAAAATGTAGGTACCTATGCAAATCATCTAGAACAGATCTCTTTGGTGTTGAAGCAACACTCATAGATGATGCCAGAAGTTCTTCAATGAGACTTACGCTGTTGGAATTCAATCTACAAATTATAAAAATGAATTAATCATAAATGGATAAACATATGGGTACTAAAACTTACACTGGGTTATGAGTATCATAATTATTATTATCATACTCTTCTTGGAAACACATGCGGAAATTATTGTCATTATTTGTTGTGTTTTCGGTGGTCGTTAAAATAGAGTAGGTTTTGCCCTCGATGTCTACTAGTTCTATCTAGAACATTGCATAATAAGATGAAGTCATTGACGAACATACTTTTATTCATAATTTAAATACTCATCAATGATATCAGCTTGTTCTGATGGTAAGGTGGAAATATTAAGTGTCGCATCAATAATGGGAAGACTAGGAGAAAGATTTTTTTCTCTAGACGTTGTTCTTCTCTAGACGTTGTTTTTCTCTGATTTCCGCCAATTTTCGCACCATTACGAATCTTTCCCCTAATTTTGGTAAAAGTTTCGCAATGGCGTCGGAGTCGAGAGACAGCAAAACTTCTAGGGTAATGGCTTCTTCTAAAATACCAAAGAAAGAATAAAATAAAGTACCTATTTATAATTTAAGTAAGGATTCTATTTATAATGCTACAAACTGCAATTCAATATCACAGTTTGAAGCTTACATTATGTTAAGGGCAATCTCTTCATTATTAAGTAACAAAAAATGAATATCGTGTATGGGAAAATGATGCTTATTGGGATGCCTTCAAAATGGGTTTTCAGGTTACTGTTAACTGTTATCTTCTGTTAATGATTATACTATTGGCATAATGCACATATACCTACTAAAATAATAAAATGTAAATTATTATTATATATAAGGACTTACCTTCAAAATTTCCTAAGTGATGCCCCAGATCTATCTCTCCAAGAAATTCTTTGCATGCCATTTTTATATTTTTTCTTTGAAAAAAATCTCAAATCGACGATTTTGGAATAATTAGAACACAAACTGTACGCTCGCGAAGGGCAAAAAATATAGACTGATGAAGATGGTTTTTGTTGGAAGACGTTGTGCGGTACCGTACCGTGTGACCTTGTGCCAGCATCGACACAACGAAACGTTTGGGCTAATGTTAAGGCTATTCACATGGAACTAAATTCTCTATCTATTATCTTTTACCTTTTCAATGGCTGTTGAAGTAACAACTCGAGGATTTAATATAATCGATAATATTCATAATATTAAAGAAAGCATGTGTTCAAATGTATCCCAGTCCTTAAAAATGTATTCATAAGAAAAAGTTTCTTAACAATAAAGACATGTGTCTTAATATTTATCTGGAATGATCAACCCCTACTTGACTTAAATATTAAGAAAGAACTTCTATACTGTTATGAAGAGTTTCGTAACACCAAATACCGTTCTTAATTCGCAAGACTAGTCTCTTGAATAGAATAATGCTGGCATCAAAGTCACGTAGGACTTGAGTTTTAATGCTGACTTTTTTCAGTGTAGTAAAAGCAGTCGACCATTTTCATAAGTATCTCTATGGACGCAAGTTTCTAATTAGAACAGATCACGCAACTCTAAAATGGCTTTTAGAAATAAAAACTCCTGAAGGACAGCTTGCTAGATGGATTGAGAAATTGCAGCAATACGATTTCCAAATTAAACATCGACCTGGAAACCTGCATAAAAATGCTGACGCTCTGTCCAGACGGCCATGTAAAGAAGATTGCAAGCATTGTCAAAGAATCGATATACATGAGAAAAACACTAGTCCAGTTGTAAGAAGAACGGGCCTGATCGTCGATGACAAATGGACTACCAAACAAATGAGAGAAGATCAGGAGGCAGACCAGGACATCGGACAAATTCTACATCTTAAAGAAAACGATGAATGTAGGCCGGAATGGAGGGAAGTGTCAAACAAGAGCTTGATTTACAAAGCGTTGTGGGCCCAATGGAACTCTCTGGCCGTAGAAAATGGTTTGCTCAAAAGACTTTGGGAAAATGCCGATGGGAAATCCACGGGGCCCATGAAACAGTACAATGTCGGTCTTCCATTTGAAAGAATAGCGATAGATGTAGCCGGACCGTTCCCAGAGTCAGAGCGTGGTAACAAATACATCTTAGTTATCATGGATTACTTCAGTAAATGGCCAGAAGTTTTCGCTATTCCCAATCAAGAAGCCATCACTGTTGCCCAGGTGCTAGTGGACGAAGTTTTTAGTCGTCATGGTGTGCCACTAGAGTTACATTCAGACCAGGGACGAAACTTCGAATCTGCCATCTTTAAGAAAATTTGTGAGATCATGGGAATCCGTAAGACCAGGACAACACCTTTACATCCACAGTCTGATGGCATGGTAGAACGATTTAATAAGACCATAGAGGAACACCTGACAAAAGTGGTCGCAAAGAACCAGCGTGATTGGGACAAACACTTGCCTCTGTTTTTAATGGCTTATAGAGCAGCTGTTCACGAGTCAACAGGTGAAAGTCCAGCCAGAATCGTCTTTGGAAGAGAACTCAGGTTACCTTGCGATTTGATGTTTGGGATACTTCAAGAAGAACGGAGAGAAATCCGAGATTATGCCGACGAAGTAAGGGCACTGGGTATCCATGATTTTGCTCGGGAGCATATTCAGCTAGCCAGTGACCGGATGAAGACCAGATACGACCTGAAAGCCAATTCAGCGGGATTTCAAGAAGGTGATTTAGTGTGGCTGTATAATCCAGCTAGAAAGAAAGGAGTATCGCCGAAGTTGTCTTCAGCATGGGAAGGACCCTACAAAATAATCAAGAGGATCAATGATTTGGTTTATCGAGTTCAACGCAACACCAGGAGTAAGATGAAAGTTGTACATCTGGACAGGTTAACGAAATATCACGGGCGTGAAGTTGATCGGGACGATCAACCTTAAGAGGAGGGCAGTGTGATGATTCTACTAGAATCTACTAGAATATACTAGAATCTAGCGAATTATTCTACTTAATTCGAGAAAATAAGATTATCGTGTGTATTCTAGATTTTACAGGAATAGATTTAGGGATATATAAAAGACCGCTATTGCTTTGTAGTTAGTTTTCAGTTCGACTGTGAAACGATTTAAATAGTGATTGTAAAGAGTTTAATTGTTGAGTTAGTAAAGTAATTAGTGTCAGAGTGTTTTGTTAAGTGGAATAAATTATTGCTGTGTTAATTGGACTTTGATTTTTGGAATAAACGAAACGTACAACGAACCCAAGATTTTTGTCAGCAGGCAACCCAAAGCCGCGACAATATGAAAAATTCGATTTTACTTATGTTACCCCCTTATGTACTTTTCCATTAGCGACACTCAAGAAAATATGTTTTCTTGCTACCGAAATTGTAGATTTTCATCCTTCCGATGGGCTTGTGTGGAGAAATCGCCCAAAATCTCGATTTCTCCTTACAAGATTTCGCCCTTATTTCAAACCTTTAGCCACCTGCAACACCCCCTTCTTTGTTTTCACGAAGCCAGGTTTCATTAATTAATCTTTTGGTGAACACGAGTTGCGAGAAAATATGGGCACTAAGACATCTTTCATTTCTGTTACAGAAAATCGAATTTTCCATGTTATCCCCACGAGCCATTCGTAAAAATACCTTCATCCTACTCAAAATGGATGTACTTTTCAACCCTCTTCGAGGCTTGTATGCGAAAATGGGGCACCTAAACACTATCTGACGGTCTAATAAGAAGGCATTACTCGATAAATCCTGAAAGTTTGAAGTCCCTCTGATTGCTTGAAGTATTTTTCAGAAGCTTCCAAAGGTGATCTAGTAAAAATTTTGTATGATTTTTTTGCATCTAAGTGAGAAAAAATCCATAATTTCATTTCTGAGCTTGAGATCCACTCGCGTTTTGTTTTGTTTGATCCTTGAGGATCCTACTCAATAAATCCTGAGAGTTTGGAGTCCCATTGATTGCTTGAAGTATTTTTCAGAAGCTCTCAAACGTGATTTAATACATTGTACCTATACAAAATTCCATTTTGCTCCATAAATTTTTAATTTTGCTCCATTGCGCTTTAGAGACTATATCGATTTTAAGGTGGGGGGAGAGCAAAATTGATCAAAATTAGTAGTATAAGAATCCATTTTCAGATAGGGAAAAAGGTGGTGGGGGGGGGGGCTGATTATTATTTTTCAAACCTCTGTAACTACGGAACGGATATGGAGCAAAATTTTTCAATAACGGAGCAAAATGGATCAAAATTAGTAGTATAAGAATCCATTGTTAGATAGGGGAAAAAAGAGGTGAGGGGGCTGATTATTATTTTTCGAACCTCTGTAACTACGGAGTGAAAATTTTCAATAACGGAGCAAAATGGAGCAAAATTAGTAGTATAAGAATTCACAGTCAAATATGGAAAGAAAGTGGTGGGGGGCTTCCATTAACTTAGCCCCCTCCCCACCTGTTAAAATCGATATAGTCTCTAAAGCTTAATGGAGCAAAATTTAAAATTTATGGAGCAAAATAAGAGCAAAATTATAGATAACTTTTCATCTCAAAAATGTTTAGTGGGGGGGGCTAACTTAACTGACCTATATAAATACAAAACTAAGATGAGATTAAACCTATCTGAGGAACTTATATTTTTGAGTCTGGTAAAAAAAAAACTTGATTAAATGTTTAAACAGCAGAGGCGAATTAAATTTTTATGCAAGCAGGAATTATACAAATAAATTCACAGTTCACACGTCGACACTTAGGCAAAATTTAACTGCTTCAGCAATATAAACTTCGATAATATGACTGTGAAGCGTAACAAACAGGCAATAATAATTTTATAAATAGCTCGCGTTCTCGTTATTATTGAATTTACTACAAAGTCACTTCAATTTTGCTTTAATGTTGGGATGGTCATATTTAAAATAAGAATTGTTTCTAATCATAATTAGATCAAATGATTAATGAAGTTGAAATATTTTATGGTGTATTGTCGTAATGAGCTCCCTATCTACAAACTGAAGAATTAATTTTCTGGACAAATGTTACACACAAAAAAAAAACACATTTGACAAAGATAATTTTTTAAATAGGAAGAACAAAATAATTTACGTTATCTTTGTTTATATTTAGTGTAGAACATTAAGATAATATCGACTACTGCGTAAATTTGTGAATTAGGTCGTTGTCCTATAATTAGCAATTTTGCATCTGGAATAATTATTAACGTTTGGCAAAACCATTATGTTTTCCTTGTACAATATCAAGGCCTGTTGATTCAAACTAAGAATAAATAGTTGTCGATTTTGACAGGCTCAAAATGATCACAACATTTTAATGAATGATCCTTTTATGGTTGAAGATTATTGAAAATAGATTGAATTACCCTGGTTTCTTTTTATTTTGGGGTTTTATTTTAAAATTAGTTTTATCGAACTCGAAAACGAAAATTTGCATTAACCATCAGGCCAGAATTATATAAAATTGTGCCGCCATTATCTGCAAAAAAAAAAATTACTTAAATATAAAATTGATTAATTTCACAAGTGTGCCCACTAACAAAGTTTACCACTAATGAAGAATTCTGTCATCAAGCTTATTTTGGTGTAGGACGTTAACCTTTTATCTTGTCTATAAGATAAAATATTCAAATGTCATAGTATGTGCATTTAATTCATCATAGTTTTAAAAAAAAAATGGCATAAAAGCCGCATTTCATGTCATTACCTTAAAATAGCAGAGATGAAGATATTCATACGGTTTCTTCTGTTCAAAAATTTTCTGCGTATCCCAATCGATATTGTCATTATTCCCGTTAGTGCTGATTTTGCAATTGATAAGGCACAGAGTGTTTTTGATATTCTTCTCGTGAAATCTCAAGTCTTCGATGTCCACCGGAAATAGTGGTTCCAAGCCTTCGACGTCGTACTTGCATGTCAACCTGCAGTTCTCCGTATTTTTCCTATGAGAATTGTATTTTTTCAACGCATGTTCTAGTTTCTCCACACAAGCGGGATATCTTTCTTCCAAATAAGCCAATGTGCCCTCTTCGTAGAGACTTGCGACCGTGTCAACTTTTTCTAATTTATCCGAACGAACATGTGTTAGTAAAGCGATTGTTATTGTTACGTAGAACGCGGCCCACGTGACAGTAGGCATGATAGAGTAACACTGAACCAGTGACTGAACTTTATATAAAATACAACAGACAGACAACAGCTTTCGGTTTCTTTTCTGGCATTTTACTAAGTCACCGGTCCTGGCTATGAAGATAAGTATGTTAGTGCGTGGGCTCATGGTCAAACGGTTCCCGGTTTAGTTCAACTATCATTGTACTGAACGCAATTGTGTTGTATATATCTTATTCAAATAAAGAATACTTAGTAGCTATTAAACAATTCAAGAAAAATGCAAAAAGCATTTCTATTTAAATACAGAAAACATGCCCAACATTTAACAAAAAAAACAAGTTTTCTCACGTTAATAAAGAAAAGTTTAGTAAGTAGGAATATAGAAACCCCTTATTTCGGTTATTTAGAAAATAACATAAGTAACATAATAATAAGTAAGTTGTATAAATTTAACTTTTATGTCTTATTTGATGTGAAAATATTAGCATTGAACAATTGTATATTTTAGACTACAATAGTAAATATTCCCTCCAAAAAGATTATAAAATTATTTCGCATCTTGCAGCATGCCAGCATGATTGGCGAAACACGACCCCTATATGAAGAATAGCCGAGAATGGAAGATACTAGCGAATGAATCCACAGCCGAACCAGGATTCACGCGAAACTGCAACCGAGTGGAAGACAAGAGGAAATATCATTCAGAAAATCACATACCTACATAGAGGTACCTATTTAAATTATTTGGAAATAAGGGATGTTCAAGTTTTTCGCATTTCCGGACATATGTTTAACAAAAAAAAAAACCTAATTCTTAGATCTACTATCCCCAGAAGTTTGTAACAAACCTTTCGTGACACCCTGTATAACTTTTATTGCAAAGTTTATTTTATGTTGGGGAGTTTTCAATTTCTCAGCAATGTGATTGGTAATGAAGTTTGACATGGAACCGTTATCGAGTAGAGCCATGCAAACCAAATTAGTGCCTTCACCATCTGAAACCTTTACTAAAGCGGTAATGAGCAAAACTGACGATGCATAGTTACACGCACTGTAAGCTGGAGTAGCTATCGGATCCTCCTGATTATTTTCTGAACATCAATTTTCTAGAAGGACAGGAGCATTAACTACAGAAAGAGCATATGTAACAATAAAGAATTGTGTTTTTCACTACACCTTTTGGAATGACCGTACTTGCAACCCTCTAAAGAATAACCACGCTGCAGACAGTTTGGACACAATTTTAGTTCCAAAAACCTTATCTCGCCTCTGAGATGCTGTAAGAGAAAGAAGCTGAGAACATTTATAAATTCCATGTTGTTTTTGACATAAATAGCAAGCATATTCACTTTTTTTCCTGCTGCAGTTTAATTTCCTGCTGCATTAACTGAAAACGCCTTCATCTCTGATCTACCTAGGGGTTTGCCAGGAGGCTTAGGCTTAGGCTTGACCCTATGCATACTTAATTTTTATAAAAATTCGGCCCTGCTTGTTAAAAATGTTTTGAATTTTTCAAGAGTAGGTAATTCGGCCTTAAATTCTTGCTGCTCCCACTCTCTAAGCGATTCTGCATCCAACTTGTTGGTGACTTAAAATATAACTAAAGGATCCTACGTGTTTGTCTGAATACCCAAGTTTTCAAGACATTTTAAATTTTTTGAGATTGAATCGACACTAAATCGAAGCGCTCCTGAGAAGTCTGCCTTTATGTCATGAATGATGAAAAGTCCCTTTAAATGTTTATGCATCAGTCTTTTGTTGTCAAACCTGCTGCACAAAATATCCCATTCAACACTGTAGTTTTGCTCAGAAAAATCAAAAGCACTTAAACATTACTGAACATTTATTTATTATTGACTTGTGTAAGTTTTGTATTTTAAACATTAGCATGAATAAAGAATCTGAATCTAATGAGTAAACATAATTATGATCTAAGTACTTATTTGAAAAAATTAAGCTACTTTTTTTGTCTTATTCTCCTACTCTCTAAACGATAGCCTGAACCTGAAATTGATTCCTTATCATATTGATCCTTAACAATTTTTACAATTCAATCTGAGAAGGATCCGATTTCACCCTAATTGCGCTCAGATTGAAGCCAATTAAATTCTCTACAAACTTGTCAATTAAGATTTAAATTCGGTTTTAACAGTTTTGCACCTGAGAAGCCTCAAAATTGAAATTATCGAACATTGAAAGTTAGCCAAAAATGACATTGAAACAGTTTTTGCCTCATACCTCCGTTAATTTCTATCCGATTTCAACTTAATATGTAAGGCTCAAATCAGAGCCAGTTAAATTCTCTACAAACCTATTGATTGAGATTTTAATTTGGTTTTAACAGCGCTTGAGAAACTTCAAAATTAAAATCATCGAACAGACAGGTTTTGCCTCACAGCTCCGTTAATTTTCATCCGATTTTAATTTAGTTCCAGTTATATTTAATTACTAGTTCATTAGTACAAATTCTTTTTTGGTTAGGTACCAATCGGTTTTGCGGCTGTCTGTTGACACTTGTGGCCACCATACTATTTAAGTGACGATGGGTCTTTCATCTTTCAACCATTGTAAATAACCAATGGATCATTTTTGGCTCTGGCTTTAGACCCCAAGTCTTGCTAAATAATCTCCTGCATGTCCAGTTGGTACCTATATGGCTATTACCCTGTCGGTTACTCCTTTAAGATATTGGTTCCAAGTAAGTTTTTGAACCGACGCCCAGATATCCAAATGTATTAGCTCAATTCTCTCACAAGAAAAAAAAATTCTGTTATGAACATACACAAATTTCAGGAGAGTTTGATTTAGCTGAATTCATTACAAGATTTACACAAATATTGTTTAATAAAACTCCTACCTATAGGCAAACTTCAGATCCAGGCATCTCCAGGAATATTAAAATGAACAGCGACTTGCGCGAGCAATTTACTAAGGAACGCCCAAAGAAATGAAAAAGGATGAAAATTGATTGAGCAGGTTTCAATTTCCTACTGGCCTCCGGTTTACGTTGAAACATCTTAAGCCATTTTAGTCCGAGGGCTGATGGAAATATAATAATTTATAAATTTTTTTCAGATTATTCAGGATTTGTGCAGCTTTTTTTTCTTCGATTTGGCTTCATTGAACGACTACTCACTATTCACGAAACAAACATTTTCGTATTCTATTAGGGCCCATTCAAGTTGAATTATTCAAATAAAATACTCTTTGGAAAATTTTCCAGGAAGGTCTCTTGGTTTTCTCGGAAATTTCCAATAACTGAAAATTAGAGGAAAAGCAAAATTCACAGTTCAGTTATTTGAGTGTTTCCGGTTCCCGGACTTAGAAAATGTTTTTTGCAAATTTTTCGAATTATTTTTTTGACATTTTAAAAAGCTAAAAAGAGCGGAATTGGATAATGCGTGTTTTGCCGGGCACTCGTTGCCGCTTTTATCATCAACAACCACACCGTCTTTAGAGTAAACTAGCCAGGCTGCAAGATTTTGCAGCTTGCAACGCCGCATCCTGCATCAGCTAAATGGAATGGTCCGCCTGTCATGGCGTTGAAACCTGACGCTCAATTTGAACTCAATAATAAAACAGTTTATTTCAAATAAAAGACAATTATTTACTTCCCAAAAAAAAAAAATTACAGCTTTGTCGCCAAAGAACATAGTTTTTTCTTGCTAATAAAAACCCAAGCAAACACCAATAAATGACCATTAACCCGGAAAGATAAAATAGTCGCCATGGCTGGCCAGATTCTTTCATGTGAGACTTGCGTGCCTTTCTTATCCTTTCAGCTCATTCTTCCTCAGTGGGTGAATGACTCTAAGCCAGCACGACACGGGGTAAAAGCACCTTTTGAAATACGTCTGAAGGAGCAGCGGCCCCAAGAGTCAATGACACATTCCAGTTCTATAACTCTTTCAAATTAAATTGCTTTTCGAAGAATTCGTAAGAGTTGTACGCTAATTTCTGCACATGCCTTCTTTCTTGATTTCGTTAAGGAAAAAGAACATGTGCAATTATTGATCCATGACGATCAGACTAAGACCCCCTGGTATTAACCATCTGTTTTTAGTCTACTTATGGAGGACTATTAAAATCCTAAAATTTTTACTTTTTCTAATATTATCAAAAATATGATATTTGGGTCCCACAACACCTAGTAAATAGCATGTCATGAACCCTATTATTTTTGGATTATGTGATGGATGGGTAAGGGGGGAAAGGGGGATGAATTATTTTAACTGCTACACATACAACATTTCATTGTATGGTGGACAATTTTTATCTTATGAAACTAGAGGTGGAAATAAAACACTGGATTGTTACCCATAATATTAAAATATATTTTTCGGGAGACTACAATAAAAATATCGAAAGCTAATGTGATAATTTGCCATGTTAATAATAAAATCTTTAAAATAAATATAATCAAATTTGTAAAATTAAAATCTTGTAGGTATTGGATTGGGTCAACTTATTACGCTTAAACCTGTAAATTTGGTAAATGATTAATTAACATTGTTTTGGATGTCATTGGCTGCAGTCATGAACTTAATTAAATGGGGAACAAAATTGAATACAGTGAATGAAGGGTTTAGAACAGAAACAAAAAAAAATTAGAAGAAAGTAATAGTATGGATATACTCGTCAAAAGTCTATGAAAAAGTGATCTAATCTGAATACTATAATTTATAAAATAGTAGTAGAAAGTGGTACATCTATATCAAAAATCAAAACCGAAACTAAAAATAACTCAACTTCACTGCTGAAATTTGAAAGCCAAAAAAAAAACTCAAATTTACTGCCAAATCTTGTAGGAACATCCACTATCTGTTTCAAGAACATATTTTTTTTTATCCGAAACCAATCAACAAGTATACTTATTTATCCTAATGTCATATTTTTACCAGTAAACCTAAGACATGTTCGACAGCAATTCAAAATGATTTTTGATTTTTTTTTAACATAAAGAGAGGAAGCAGTTTTATTTTTACTTTACGTATATTCCACACATATTGTTTAAAACATTACTATTAGCGTCCTGTATATTTTAGAGATGAACACATAGTATTAAGTAGGTTATATATTCTATGTGGAGATTTTTAGTTTGCTTCAGGTTACTGAACGCAGCATGAATTTTGACGTCCGTTTTTAGATTTGAGACGTGACTTTGGACGGTACTTCTCCAGGTACGCCAATTGCTTTGCGTTTATTGCACCTCGCCTCTTCCTAGAAATAAAAAGAAAACAAACATTGAAATCTAAAATGGAATTCCTTATTAGGTTCACTTTCATTTTCATCGATTTTTGCATTATTGCTAATGAATTCATTATTGAGGAGGCTATCTTTGTTTAGTATATAGAAAATGATTATGACAGACATATGTATGTAAAGTCCGTCGATTTTAATCTGATAGTCCAAAGGAATGTGTGCTGGTGGCTCTCTAAATTAGAACGCCAATGGTCACTTGACGTCACACCTGTTTTTGCCATAAGCTTCACCCCCTTGCTCCTCATCCGGAAAGTGTCAGATTATAAACAATGGACAATATAGGCTAGTGGATCCAAAAATGAGTCTTTCGGATTTGTCCTGCGTCGTTTGGGGACTGGCGACTTTCAACAGTCAACAACCGAAGCAGGAGAAATCCATATAACATTTATCTATGTTTAACAGCCCCTGGAAGTTTTTTGAAAAAATTACCTGAATAAGTACACTTTTTCTTATCTAACTAAAAAATATAGTATGTAGGTGTCAGTATTATTATGGTGCATTTTCTAGAAAGTGAATACATCTCTGACAATTTTCCAGAGGCAGGTCCCTTCAAAAAGAGGAATGGCAGGTGCATGCGCGAAAAGGCGTAAAGTTGGCGAGTATGTGTTCTAGAGAGTACTAGTATGATGGGTGGTCATTCTATTAAATCAGTCATTAATTCGTCATTCATTAGTCAAGAAGTCTAGTCAGAAGTGGTGTAAAGAAGGGCGATAAAGACGGAAGGCGTACACAATTACTGCAATTGTGTTGTGGGAGTGAAGAGCCGTGTCACCTCGTACCAAAGACGTAAAAACGAAGACAAATCCACCGGAGGACCTTTTATTTCACCCCATTATACAGTGTGATTTTTTAAGTGTGCAACATATGGGAATTTTTTTTAGTGATAGCACAACCCAAATACAAACAAGGCCAAAAGTTGGTGCATGTCTGATAAGCATATTAGGTGCACTTAGAATGGTTGCAAGTCAAACAGCATACAGGGTAGGTCAAACAATATCAAAATTATACTGTGAACTACCCTTATTTTAGAAAGTTTAGCAAAATGTTATAGAAAAAAGTTGTTTGGAATTAAAAGTTATGGCTAAATACCAAAACATAGCCTCCTAAAAAAAAAATTCTATGTTTTTTTTATTTTTTATTTCCGCCCTTGATACTTTCAAAAATTAATTAAAATCAAATCAATTTTGCAACCATTTTAAGTGCACCTAATATGATTATCAGGCAAGCACCAACTTTTGGCCTTGTTTGTATTTTGATTGTGTTATTACTAAAAAAAAATCCCATATGTTGCACACTTAAGTAATGACACTGTATACACTTTGGACAACCTAAGAAAAAGCCTACATACACATAACAAAAAAAGTTTTGCACCACCCTGTAATGTAACTACAGAATACTCATCCATAAATAAAAATATTGTTACCTTCACTTATGGAATGAGTCCAGTACATTTACTAAAAAATCTTCAGGAATCTGAAACTGTTCACGATTTTTTTATTGATAATTTTTTAATTTAGATATCGCTGAATATATAAAATGAGATGGTGCAAAACTTTTTTTGTTGTGTATATATGACATTTCATCATCATAGTAATTCTGAATTCACTCGCTTTGATGACTAAATAGGTCTATTCTGGATAAATAATATCGCCTCCATTGTATCGTAATCAAGAGAAACCAAGAGAAGTGTTGGGAAATCCCAGAAAAGACAGCGATGCGGCATCAAGCGAATAGCAGGAAAGAAGTGGCCAAAGGCAGCCATCTACAGAAAATTGTGGAAATATTTGGAAGAAGCCCACATAGTACAGGATTGGATTGGATGATTTGGGCTGAGAAGAAGAAAAAGATAGACCGAAACTGTTTCAATTAGATCAACTGAATCTGAAGGGAAGAACAATTATTGTTCAATCCCAAGATCAAAAATCAATACACATAAATGGACTATTAAATAGGAATATACAATCATATCGTCCGGAGATAGATCTGGAAATTTTGTATCTGAGGAAGCTCGCTCCTATTTGTTGACCAGACTTTACTCTACACATTACATTGCACGTTATTCTAATGCTGAAAACAAGTTGTTGCCCAAAATTTCTTGGCATGTGAAGTTGGGGACTTGAGCAGGGCAGTGTTCTCACTTCTCAGTGAGTTAGAGCAAAAAATGAATCTAATATAATATACACATGGCTCCCGAATTTGAACAGATAAAAAGCATACGTACTCTCTAATCAGCTCCACAGCCTCCTCATATTTAAGACCCAGTTCGATGAGAGCAAGTGCGACCATGACCGGAGCACGGCCAAGTCCAGCTACGCAGTGGACTGCTACACAACCTTCTGGATGGTGATTGAACTCGGTCTTCAGGACTTTGAACCATTCCTCGACTATGTCGTTCGGAGGGAACGTCCCATCGTCGTAGCTAAGATCGAAGACTGCAATGCTGCAATTTTTCAGCTCGTCGGTCTTGTAGGATGGTTCGCACACGCGCACCACAGCTGTTACCTTGTGTTTCTTCAGTTCCTGTAATAAATAAAAAAATAAATGAATCTGGAATATCCAGTGATGAAAAATTTTCTAGGTACTGGATCAAATTTTTGAATTAAGAGATAAATGTCAAAAATACTATTGATTAACTTGTGAACAAACTACTTATTTATTTGTTAGGGACAGGGCGGAGGAGCCTTAAAGCCGCATGACCTGAGGAGCGTCCCTATTCTTCTGACCAAAATCTGCAGCCCTTAGTGAGGGAGACAAGATTTTATGACAGGTGAGTGAATTGTGCTTACTTTTCCCCCAAAGAGTGGAGTCTCTTGCGAGTCATTGGCAAAACGCTTGGAATTAAAATTAAGATAAAAAATTTAAATTGCTATCGCTGACAAAAATAAGACCTTGTTCGTTTCCCGTTTAATATTCCTTATCAGAACAATATCAAGTTTCGAGCGCACCTGATTGTTGTAATGTAATCCGATGTCTGAACAACGAAAGCGGAAAAGAGACTTTTCTTTATCTCGAAAAGGCGATAACAGAACGGATGAAAAAAGCAGCTCAACACTTGCAATATTTCAAGACCGTTAAGTTAAAATAGTTAACGTAATTGGGAACTCAAGATTTAAAAAAAAAATAAACGCATTTAGAAGAGTGAAGAAAATTTACTCAGGACCACTCGAGTAATGTTTATTTTTAAACTAAGGAAAATCGATTTTTAATTTGTTTGCTGGGAATCTAGTGAACGCTAAAAAATAATCAAATTAATTTTTTTATGCATGTAATATTGAATAAATTACATTTTCAAAGTTCGAGGTATACGGTTTTTTGCACTCGGTTAACAAATTTCATGCCCCATCAAATTAATGAGGAAGTTCAATAGTCCTTGCCTGAACCTCATACTTTTTATCTTGTTTGACACTCCAGGTGTTTGTCCTCTAGAGATTATTTATGTGTTTACTATCACACAAATTTTTCAAGTTTATGATCTCTTCTTCTTTTTTTAGTCATGAGTTATGCGCTGGTTTCAATAAATATCTCACTCACATCTAATCATATTACTTTCACCAAAATTATTTTGATGATATGTGACAAATTCTAGAAGTACATAAGAAATTTTGAACGACAAGTAATGTCAGCCCTATATTATATGCTGATTATTCACATCGACTCCCGAATCGAGTCTCGTCATTCGAAGAATTTAATAACGAACTAGAAAACAACAGACACATTAAGTATACCTAATAAAGATAAATTAGACCAAATTTCAACCATGACACAACCCGAGGCACAAGCGGACCTTGAAATTTCAACGAGGAGGTACACACAAACAAAATCCCTGTCATCAAAACAACCGGTAATTACGTCACTAATCAAGTTATTACGAGTGTCTTACATTTACCCGCAAAAACAAAACGCTTGATAGTAGGTATTTGAAAAGATATTTAGTAGAATTATCGGAAAATAATTTCGAACAGGACATAATACAATTTGTAAACGAAAATGTGATACTTTGAAAGTAATATTCATTTACTTCGAGAGGTCAGACACTACTTAACAACCTTCAATTAACACATTCAGCCCCAAGGCGGTTGTGACGGTTATGACAAGTTTAAGAAAAACTGTCAAAATTTAAATATGAACAAATTAAAATAAATTATCCACTATACGAAAGAGCATTAAATTCTCTATAAATCTATGCTAAATTGAGTTTGATAGCTCGAATACTTTTTGAGCAATTGAGCCTCAAAGTTGATTTTTAGTAAAAAACTTCACACTCAATTTTTTCAAAAACTATAAACCTGAAAGTATTTTCCAATACAAGTAGAGCTCAATAGGAGCTACAATTCCTGGAAATTTCGATTCTATATCTTTCACGAATTTCAAGATATTGAGGCATAAAGATTTTGAAACAAGAATCCAAAGGTGTTTGAAAAAAATCGCAATTTAAATTTTTTATATTTTTCGAATTTTGACTTTTTCCATCAATAGAGCGGTCCTCAATTTATTAAAAAAAAACCTTACCATCATTTCCATTTCCATTACCAAAAGAAAAAATTATTTTTTTGTTCTGAATTTTGTATAAATCATGACAAGGTTAAGAAAAATTGCCAATATTTTCATTAAAATTTGAACAAATCAAAATAAGTTAATTGAAAAGAGCATTAAATTCTCTAAACATCTCTGCTTAATTAAGTTTGATAGCTCAAATACTTTTTGAGCAATTAAACCTCAAAGTTGAATTTTAGTCGAGGTTCAGTCAAAAACTTCAAAACTTAATTTTCTCAAAAATATAAATCTGAAATAGTTATTTACCTAACAAGTCAAGTGCGGAAAGTGGTACTTTTCTGCACGAGACGCTCCGCGTCGTTCGTGCAAGCCGTCGAGGGTAGAAAAGTCATTTTCCGCAAGAGTTAGGTACAATGTTTTTCCTACGAGTGTTTTTGTCCATCTTATTTATCAAAAAAAATGTTTTCAATACGCAAAGATTTTATAATAATAGTACAAAATAGCACATAATATAGAATAGTTACATAAAACATTTATTTGGTCCTAAATATCTTCATTTTTTTATGCAAAAAAAAATAATGGAATTGGATTTTTTTATCATGATGTATTAGTAGGAACTTATTTAAAGAACATTCAAATAACAATAACGAAAAAATTAACGACGATAAATACTGAAAGTGCAATTATTTGTGTTTGTTGCATGCTACAATATAGCAGATGCCGGCACATCTTGAAGAACGTCGTTTCTTAGTTGAATTTGATTGGTTGGTGTTTGGCCTACTACAGAGATTGTTCGATTATAGTCAATGTATTTGTTCTCTAGTAGAGTGATTTTTGTTATGTGACTTTTCAAGTTTTATGTTTATGAATTTTAAAAACAAATTTTAATGCACAGATCTAGGTTTTCTGAATGAAAAATAGTATGTATAGATAGAAGAGCTGAAGATGGATTAAATAATGTATCAGAAACATGTACTCGTCGTAAAATCTTTAAAAATTTTACATAAATAATTGTGGAGAAGACAGCGAGTTTCACTGCTTGCTTTATATCGGGTCAACTGTGAGAAAAATGGACTTTTTTTCAATTTAGATAGTAATTTGGTTTGAAGTAAAAAATAGTACCCATAAAGTAAAAATCGTGCGGAAAAGTAAAAAAATCGTGCGGAAAAGTAAAATCGTGCGGAAAAGTACAAATTTCAAAACGAAAAATCGTGCGGAATAGTAACTTTTTCGCACGCTCGTAGGAAAATATTTTTTAATACAGGTTTTTTTAAGGCTTGATACAAACTACAATTTCTGAAAATTTTGATTCAATATTTCTCACGGATTTCGAGATATTGAAGCTTAAACATTTCGAAATAGGAATCCAAAAGGGGTATGTATCGGGTGATTGTCTATATTTTGCACCCACACCATCTCACCTATTTGAAGAGATACCCAGAAATGTCAAATGTGAAAGTTGTTGGTAATATCAGAAAGTTTTCAATGATGTTAGTTACAAGTATACAGGGTGTGACAGAAAAGTGTGGCGAAGCAAAGTTATACTTTTTTAAATGGAAAACCCCGTATATTATTGTCCCATTGGATTAGCCTTTCAAACCTGATTCCAAATATACTAGGTTTTTTAGGTTTATTCCTCATAGTCCAGCCTCTGAATATCCCATTTTGAAGAAATAAAATGGATTTTTTATATGAATGATTATACCTTTATATTTTGCTGGTGGTTTCTATACTTCACCTTTTTTAATAAAATATGCAATTATTCCACTCCTTTTTGTTCTAATTTTTCCTGGACTATAAGGAATAAACCTAAAAAACCTAGTAAATTTGGAATCAGGTTTGAAAGGCTAATCCAATGGGACATTAATATACGTGTTTTCCATTTAAAAAAGTATAACTTTGCTTCGCCACACTTTTGTGTCACACCCTGTATACTTGTAACTAACATCATTGAAAACTTTCTAATATTACCTACAACTTTCACATTTGACATTTCTGGGTATCTCTTCAAATAGGTGAGATAGGTGTGGGTGCAAAATATAGAGAATCACCCGGTAGGTACCCTTTTAAAAAAAATCGAAATTTTTAATTTTTATATTTTTCGAAATTTGACTTTCCCAAACGATAGAACGAGTCCAAATTAGTCGAAAAAAACCCTAACATCGTTTCCAAATGAATAATTTAACGAGGAAAAAAAAATTAAAAAGAAAATTTCATTTTTCATGGCGTGGTTAAAAAAAATTGCCAATATTTCCATTAAAATCTCAACAAATCAAAATTAATTATACACTATAAGAAAGAGCAATAAATTCTCTATAAATCTGTATTGAACAGAGTTTGATAGCGCAAATACTTTTGGAGCAATTGTGCCTTAAAGTTGAATTTTAGTCAAAATTTAGTCACAAACTTCAAACTCAATTTTCTCAACAATAATTATAAACCTCAAAATACAGGTTTTTGATAGGAGCTACAATTCCTGAAAATTTTTTTGATTCAATATCTCTCATGGATTTCAAAATATTGAAGCCTTAAGATTTTGAAATAAAAATCCAAGGGTACATTAGATACCCTTTTAAAAAAAAAATCGAATTTTGGGTGGAAAAAGCGGGTCTAAATTAGTCATTTCAAACAGAAAAATAACCAAAAAAGAAAATCTCAATTTTTAAAAAATCCTGACAAGGTTAAGAAAAATTGCCAATATTTTCTTTAAAATTCGAGCAAATCAAAATAAATTATGCACAATTATGAAGAGCAATAAAATATCTATAAATCTGTGCTAAATTGATTTTGAAAGTTCGAATACTTTGTGAGCAATTCACCATATTAGTTATAGTTCCACTATCATCATCAGGAAAAGTTTCAGATTCAATAAAATTGGCTTGGCGTTGAACGTGTTAGATTTAAAAGATGTTTCCTAGTATATTTTTATACAAATAAGCTTTGATATTCCGGCAAAACGATTTAAATTTGAACTAAGATAAGAAATTTAAATTGCTATTCAGCTTCTCCCATTCCTTATCTGAAAA